CAAGAGCGCTCCTGCATCTTGCTGGCTCAAATACAGCGCCGCTCTGGAGACTGGCTTTGGATGCATTGCGTGCTGCAAGTGAAGGAAAGTTCCGAAAACAACCAGCAGCCTGTAATCGTCTGCACCAACCAAGTGCTCTCAGAAGCTGAGGCCGCGGTGATGCGCACCAACGGGTGGTTGTATCATTACTATTCCGTCCAGAACAAGTTACATTACGGACTAGCATACGATGGAGCTCACCCAGCTTCGAGACTCTTATACTATCCCGAGCATAGCGGTCATGGAACTTCCGAATTTGGAAGTTCTCACGATGTGACAGCTTATCCCCATTTAGCTACCATGCCAGTAACTCTTCATACGCAGCTAGCGACGCACCATGCAGGCGCAGCGACGCATGCACACCATAATCAACATCACCACCACCATCACCATCGGAGAGCTGATTCGGAACCGGTGGATTACAGCTACGGAAAACGGAAACCTAAAGAAATCATTCATTTGGAACTGCATGTAGACGCAGCAACTGAAGCCGATGCTGGTGGTGGCGGAGATGGCCTTCTAGTAATATCCCATCTATCGGAACGCCCGCGAACCCTCCTCAAGGTCGACCCTCAAGACTTTATGGACCAATGGAATCCAAGTCCGCCCTGGTCAGATACGCTGCAGAAAGTACCGGATATGTGTCATCAGGAGTTAAGTCCTTATGTTGGAAGCACTCCTCCAACACCTACAGCAACTCCAAGCATGCACATGGGAGGAGCGTTTTCTTTCGACTGGACCCCTGAACAGTTCGTACCGTCAATGAGTGGAACCCCTGCGGTAACTGGATCAATCGATGAATTAGAACGTCCACTTTTTTGGCCAGCTTCTGAAAGGCAATTGTTTCCCCTACAGCCGCCACCCAAAAGAAATCACCCATCTAGCGGCAGATCTGACTCAGCTGATCGAGATACTCCTTAGCTCGGAAGCAATCTTAGATTCATAGTGCAATAACCGTACCATTCTGTTGAATTTCATCCGCAGACACCTTATTTATATTGATATGGAAACGTGGTCAGTAAATCAAGTTGCATTTTTCGAAGGATTTCATTTGGAAAGTTTAATAAAATTATGTGTCTTTCGCACCTATCTCTCAGCGGTAACAGAAAAGTGCATGAATATTTATGATTATGTCTTAGGCCACATTAAGGGTTGACGTTCAGCTAAACTTTCACTTTGATTTACTAGCCTTAAATTGTATTTGCGAATATATACAAAGTTCCTAAAGTAGTTCACACTTTTAATGCGTCTTGATAAAATGTTTAATATTTGTTAAACACTACTATTTATTTAATGGAGACCAGTAATAAGAATGTGATTTATAATGCAAAAAGCAGACGTTGTAAATACGGTTAACTGTTCTTTCTAGTAAACCTATACATTTAAAATGTAAGTTCCTAAGAATCAATAAATTATTTAAAATATTTAGTGTAATTAAATAAGAAATAGATAATTGTGTAGTATAATAATTGACAAATAATATAAAGTGTTATCTAAATAAATTCTAGGTTTCCGAATCTCCATTCTGTGGGATACATTCATGGAAAGGTTATGGGAATTACGTGAAATTCGATTAGATCACTATTCTCATTCAGCCCAGCATTGTTAGGTGACATTCATTTGAAGTGATCGATATCACATCAATTTAATGTGTGTTAATGTGTATCAGTATTATTATTTGCTATTAAAATGGATCTGTTATTTGATAAATACGTTTTATTTCAACGGATTAAATTCTATAAAATATATAAAAAATATTAGTAGAGACACCGTAAAAAGTAATAGCAATTTAAATTCACAGCTCTAGTTCCTCCATTTCTTTTCCTAAAACAAAAAATATATATCAGACCAACTAGATGAAGCGTTATTCGTTTACATCGATCCAAGTAATTCAAAGTGAATGTTGGATCTCTGCTGTAAGTCAATAGCTACTTACTGAATACTGCAGGGCACTTTCTATTAAGTAATAGTCAGAGCTTTGGTAAGCAACTTTCCCTTTATAGTTCAGTAAGGCCAGTCGATCTCTTTGATTCAAGAAATACTGAATAATATAAGTATGGCACTGCAATTTATTTGCCAGCGCATATGCCTTGTCAGAGTCAGATATGCATCCTAACAGCGTCTCTAGAATATCTCTTGGTGGATTGTGTCTATAAAGCCCGGTTAAGAAAATTTCCGGGGAGAGTGCCGTTTTTAGAGTATTTTTCTTAGTTAACCAATTCTAGAATGTTCAGGATATAACAGCGAGTTTCAGTATAGTGCTTTGGCTTGGTGTGACTTTGAGGACTTACGTTTTTAACAAATGATTCGTTGATGTGCATCCACAGCTTCATTGAAGCCAACACATTCATCAATGTCCAATCAAATGTTAATTCGTCTATCCGAAAAGTTTTCTTATACTCCTGCAATCTACTCATTCCTGTGTGAGTCGACAGTTCATGCTTGCAAAGTTCAGCCAGTTGCGTAATTACAGAATTTGAATTAAATTTATGGTCCACCTGGAATTCTGATCCCAAAAAGATTAATTATCAGCTTCCGCCTTTGTCTGAGCCAGCTTACTCGTCAGCTGCAGATAGTCATATATCTCAGTTTTATCATCGCTTGAATTAATCTTTTGCATATTCTCCATTATGAATTGATCAAGTTTTCGATGCAGCAGCTCTTTATTAGTGATTCCCTGCCCAACCAAATAGTAAACAGATTTCTGCAAAACATATTCATATTTGTCTATATATTACGTAAACTGGTTCAGCGATTTTGCCTTACCAAGCTTGACGTATTTCCTGTAGCCCTGGAAATTTAAACATATTTTACATAAAATTTATTCAGGAAAAAAATACGGACTCACATATAAAGGTCAATTATTTCCTGCAATCTATTTCTCATATACAAATATTGTGCATAGTGGTTTACCGCTCCATTCCGTTTCGACAGTTGGAGATAAAATATGTTGGGTTTTAGCGTAGCTTTCAAATATAACAATACCTGTGTAAAATTTCCCAATTAATTTACCAGGAAAATTTACAAGCGGATACATACTTTTAAAATAACCGACCCGTCGCATGCCTCCAAGGCTTTGTCCAGCAGCAAAACTTTGTCACTAAACTTAACATAACAGTTGAGATTGTAATTATGGCCTATTAGCATTTTTTTAACAGTGTCTTCTACTTGAGGCACCAAAACAGGAAGTGTGGACTCAATATCATCCAACACTACGAGGAAACAATTCTTGTATGTGATCACAAGTTTTGCAAAATGAGTTTTAATCAATAAGAATGGTCACAAAAACGTAAATGGGTAAAATCCTAAATACACGGTTGTAATGAGCGAGAACTTACCCATGTCCAGATTTGTCTTGGAAATAATAGCATGAATAGGCACTTGAGATGAAATTTCCGTTAAGGAGCTAAAAATGGTGTTGTCCGAAGAAACATCGGTCAAATCCTGAAACAAATAAATTACTTATAGGGACACTTGGTTTATTTTTAAGTTGAAGTGTTAAATGTGTGTTTTGGACATTTGCTTTGGTGGCAGCAAACATCCCTTTGCTTTCCGCCAATCCTAGAACTTTCCATACTCCTTGCAAAAGAGCAACACCTTAGACAAGCAAATCGCAAAATCAATATTTCCTATTGGACAGCAGTATACCCCGATTAATCACCCACTGATTGTAGTTAGAGCTACAAAATGTTACAGCCAGGAAAAGAGGCTGTGTGAAAAGGTATGATTCGCTTCAAATATACGCGCAATTAGCACGCAAATATACTGATAGTCCGCGTAAATAAAATGGATGTATAATTAATATAAATAATATGATTTGAAATTCGAGTAAACCGCCCTTTCCAGGGAGTTTCTAAAGCCACAACATCTGAGTGCACTGTAAATTTCCATAATAACGTTTTCTCCAAATCAAAGCATGGGTTGAAATTTTCAGAAATTTGCGAAGTCGTCGATGCATAGTACGAAATGCGCCGAAAGATGTTTGGGCTTCCGCTCCGTTTCAAGTCCACAACCGCATTACAATTAGAAAATTATCTGGCAGCATATAAACAAGAAAAAAAAACGTAGAATTTCTGCTAATTGGAGACATGAACACCTCAATAAATTCAAATTGAGTTTATAAGAAATTTCGAAAACATCCCAAGGTTAATAAAACTTACATCTTCATCATCAAAATTGAATCCAGAGTGGCTGCTGGCATTCCAAAAGTCATCTTCAGCTTTTGCCATGGTCTGAGGAAAGTTTCATCGGAGGTAGAGGCAAAGTGGTAACTTTAGTTAACAACTGAAAAACACATTGTCTGTTTTATCTGAGTTTGAAATACGACCTGAATATGAAATATGAAGGTTTTGGAATTAAACTAAAATTGGTAAGCAGACATAATCGGCTGCTGCAAGTCTAAATGAAGGGCTCAGGGAAAAAACGATCATAGTCCATTTTTGTCGAAAATTTGTTAGATTTTGTAGAATCTTGTAGTTTGCGACCCAAATTTTCAGATGGCTATGTCAGTTTTAGGCAAAAACGATTACAGTCACTGTAACGAATTTAAATAAAAAGTATATGCAGCATAAGAATGATCAGAGTCCGCGCGGTCCCATACGAAAACAATTTTGTTCCATAACATCCCACGAATTCTTGAACAAGTTAGTGAATTCTCCTAATGCTGAGTGTGAAGATGTTGATGAACCGCTTCCTATCGAAGAAATTCAACAAATTTCCAGAGAAGCTGACCAAGAGGATTCTGATGACTCGCTTTCCCTCGCACAAATTGCAAAAAAATAGAGGCGCAAAGAAGGGTAATATTAATAATATTGAACGTGATTAATTTGTTAAATACATTGGGTTTTTTGGCCCGTCAAACAAGAAGGCGCGAGGAAGAAGTGTGTAAAACCTCAAAGAAAAGTGAAATGGTTTTTATCGAATGTTATCTTAGGTAACTTTATTTTAGGTAATACATAAATTTTAAGCCCTACCGTCGGCTTTGCGGAGCATCCGGGCTCCGCGGAGCACACTTTGCGTAACTCTGACCTAGAGCAACTCATTCAGAGGGTCTAGTTTTTGTTTAAATCATTTGTATATAATTGTTATAGCATACTTACGCACCTAAGTACAAATATAAAAAATACATTTCTCTTGAAAAGTTCACTTAATATTTTTTGTGCTGAACTGAATTGGGTAAAGATAAACTACTTAATATAATTCTATATAGATAATAGAAAAGCTGAACTATAACTTAAAAACAATAAACAATAAATTAAGTGAGGTTAAGTCCATTTTATTTTATTTTCAGGCCAAATCTGAATTAATTTGGGATTCTGATCAAACGAGTCGTCAATGAATATTTGCATGGTTAAAAACCCAGTTATTATATGTGTTATTAGTAAAACTATTAATTAATTTAACAAAGACAGGGAAATTATGCAATAAAGACGAAGAGAAAATTTCGTCTGTAGGAATTTCATAAGCAAATACCGCTTAAAATATTTTCAGTCATAACTACGATATTAATACAGATTTGATGAAATTAAATTAAGTGAAAGGGATTTTAAAAATATTTTATAATTTTGGGAAACTCCTAAAAATTTTGTTCCGTCAAAGTTAATTTAAACTTCAACCTAAAATGCGTAACCATCGATGGTATCTTAGACAAGGAAAGAGATCTCTCTTTCTAAGGATGGTATGGAGTCGAGATGACAGGAAAGAGATGATCATGGAGTTTGGTTACGAGAAAATTAAATATAAATAATGTACTTTTGTTGTCAAAAATGATATGTTTACATCGTTTAGTTTATAATATATACTGCACAACCTGAATCAAGATGTCTTCCAAAAGGTCAGTACTAGAGTTTAATACTGAACATTTATTTTAACACCCACACCAATATAACCTCTTTGGGTCCCCAGTACTTTGTCTTCCATAGATATATTTTTTAATTCCTACATAAAATTTATCGCTAATTCATTGTATTACATATGTTGGGTGTTTGTTTAAAGCCAAGTGGAGGCCTGTGTTTAACAGTGTGCCATTTACGGTTCCAGGGTGTATACTGTTGCATGCTGGAATGGTGATTACATTGAATAACAATAAAGGAAATATGAACAAAAAATCAAATTGTTAAACAAAGTAACTAAGTGAAAACATGGTGCATGGCCCATAAATTCAGCTGCTTGCCATATATGGCAACCAGCTGAACGTGTTTTGCAAGAGTCAATAGTTTATTTTTCTCACATAGTCAACGAAAACCTCGCTTTCCATGCCCAAAAAAATGTCAATGTTATCAGTAGTTCACCAAAATGGAATTCTATTAAATAATTTCAGAGAACTCAAGAAGTTGTCAGAGGAGAGTTTAACCAGACAACCCGAAGAAGTTTTCGATATAATATGTAAACTTGGCGAAGGTTCATATGGCAGTGTCTATAAGGCGCTGCACAAAGAGTCTGGGCAAGTGTTGGCCATTAAGCAAGTGCCAGTTGACACTGATTTGCAAGAAATAATTAAAGAAATTTCGATTATGCAACAGTGTGATAGTCCCTATGTGGTCAAATACTATGGAAGCTATTTTAAAAATACTGGTAAGTGTGACTTGTCGCATTATTGTATAAATTCTAAATAGTTGATGTTCTGGTTCAGACCTCTGGATTGTTATGGAGTACTGTGGGGCAGGATCGGTTTCAGATATCATGAGACTGCGTAAAAAGACACTGAGCGAAGTCGAAATAGCTACTGTGTTATCTGATACGTTAAAGGGACTTGAATATTTACATTTAAGGAGGAAAATCCATAGAGATATAAAGGCTGGTAATATATTATTAAATTCCGAAGGCCATGCTAAACTGGCTGATTTTGGAGTAGCCGGACAGTTAACGGATACTATGGCCAAAAGAAATACTGTCATTGGCACTCCTTTCTGGATGGCACCAGAAGTTATTCAGGAAATCGGTTATAATTGTGTGGCTGATATTTGGAGTCTGGGGATTACTGCGTTGGAAATGGCCGAAGGCAAACCCCCTTACGGTGATATTCACCCCATGAGAGCCATTTTCATGATTCCGACAAAGCCACCACCGTCATTTAGAGAGCCCGATAAATGGAGCCCAGAGTTTATAGACTTTGTGAGTGTGTGTTTGGTGAAAATCCCCGAGGAACGTGCCACAGCCACCGACCTTCTTAGTCATGTATTTATAGGAAACGCCAAAGCCCCTAGTATCTTAAGCAGTATGATTCAAGAAGCTCATGAATTAAGAGAGAACCAGACTTATCGCAGCGTTTCTGTTTCAACTAACATTAGTGGATTGAAACAGCCTGTATCTGAGTCAGTAAGTATAATCTGAAGCTAGTGACTAGCATCTGAATGTCTATGAAAAATATTCTTTAGGTCGATGTTAATGACTCGGTCAATGAGACAATGCTCTCAGCAGTTGATGATGGAACCCTTGTACCTGATAAAGGTGGAACTTTGGTGCCTTCAGACCTTTCTGGTACCATGGTAGATTTAGAGTCTGACTTAGGCACGATGGTCATTAACGCCGATAGTGAGGATGATGAAACAATGAAGAGTAAGTTATTTCTACGCCCAAGTTCCAATACACTTGCATGGACAATTTCAGGGCATGGAACCGATTCAGCACAAAATAAGAACAAATATCGGCCCATGTTTCTCGATCATTTTGATAAACGCGAAGCGGAAGAGAATAAAGTAAGTAGTCTAGAACAATCCTTGCGTTCGTTCCATTATTAACCGATTTTTACTAGGGAAATGGAGTGTCAAACTCAGTTACATCACAAGAAAACCCCAAATCGAAATTGCCGGATCACCAAAAAATCGAACATCCAGTGCCAGTGCCTGATAAAGGGGAAGAATCTAAACAAGTTCCTTCCATTACCTTTTCAGATGGAGATTTTGAATTTGTAAGGGTTGCCTTTGTTGTATGATAATCTTTATATGAAATTATTTGTTTTAGCTGAAATACCTTTCCTATGAGGAGCTACAAGAGAAGATGAATAGTTTAGACGCAGATATGGAAAGGCAAATAGATGAACTGAGACAAAGGTAATCCGCAGATAAAAAAATGTATTTATTGATGCAATAACAATGTTTTATTATTTAGATATCAAGCTAAAAGACAACCCATATTAGATGCTATGGATACTAAACGAAAAATGTCGCAAAACCTTTAATATTTTTTTGTTTCATAGACGGCGCGTAAATGTTGAATGTTCTCTCTTATTTTCTAGTCAGGGAAGGCAATTAATTAAACACGGCTTGTAGGGGTTTAAATATTGTTTCAACGAATTGCCTTCGCAACTTGAAATTATCGTGAGAGCCTCTTAAAACTAAGATTTGCAATAATAATATTAATAATATCATAGTCGGTATAGAGATAGTGTTTTTTCCTAAACCGAACTATCCTGTTATTTTCAATACATCACAATTTGTCATTATTTTCGAATGGTAATAATTTGTACGCATTATTTACATTCAAGTTGTGTAAATCCTTTCTCGTGTCGCAAAATTCAAGAAAGCAATCGAATCTCAAATGTCATTAAAAAAACCCATTCAAGTATTGCCAGTGATTCATATAGAATTTACACAGCGACAATTCAGTGTCTCGTGCCATCAGTATACAATGCTACGTTTATCATTTGATAAACAAATCGGTTTTTGCTTCCATGACCACCAAACGAAATATTTGAATGGTTTTGATTTCTATATTTAAGAATTGTTTGGGTTACATTAATCGACTATTTAATCTGTAAGGCGTTAGTCCTAAATGTACTTAAAGCGGTTCTTTTGTACTGCTCCTATCCTAATGTCAAATACTATAAAATCATAATATCGAAGCATGCAGAAAATGATAGATTTTAGTATTTAATGGAAAAATTAACACGTATTATTTAAGGTCTCTAACTTTGGGTTTAACAACGTTGTACAGATATCCCCAATAATTACAAAAATGTAACCTCTGTACGAAAAGTACGCTTGCTGTGCCTTTGTAGACTAAGTAGATTTAACTCTTACTGTATCCATATTTTTTGATGATTCGAAATAAATATATAAAACAATTCGTTTCGTTTTCTTCAGTAGTGTCTAGAATTATTATCCTAATCAGTTGGTTATCTTTTACATTTTGTGGGTAGAAATAAGTACAAATTGTTTTTGGAGCATTTTTTATATAAAAAAATAATTTAATTACAACTAACTTTACACTGTTCATCATCTGGGACTTACGATCAATACGGTCTTACGCTTAATTGCTACACTGGTGGAATAGATAGGGCTTCCTATATAAGTTTAGTGACAAATTTTCAATGGAAACATTACATGCTATGATTGCAACATAAATACGTTTTATTTAGTTACTACAGATTTCCAGTTTTGCTTAAACAACTTAAGGATAACACTTGCTTATATTCACCATCTTCAATAGTCACTTTAATACAGACACTAGTTGTCACTTTTAACATCAAGTAAATATTTAGGAACTTAAAGTAGCAGTCGAACCTATTCGAATTAGTCCAGATTATTTTATTTGAAACACAAATTTCTACTTTCGAACTGTTATTACTGATTACAATGCTCAACTGTGCTTATTGCTGTGTTGCTTAATATTAGCGTTTATTGCGTTCTTATTGTTCAATAGGTAACCTGACATCGTGAATAAGCTACATAAAAAGTCAACAAGAATTAAAAGGTGTCCTAATTTATTTTGATAATTGCTGTTGTTCAGGATAGTGCTCAGTAAAAAGTAATAAAATGATGTCCTTCAAACACGTATGGGAACTTAAGTTATTGCAGAGATTCCAAGGAATACAAATCACGGCAAATGCTGTTACTAACTTAATTACTAACCGGGAATCTAAGTGTCTAACTCTACAATAAATAAAGAGAATTGATTAACTAGTTAGTGAACTTTTCATAAATTAACATTACGAGACATATATTGGGGGTAACATGTAGCAAATAGGGCGCTAAACCTTTATAAAAACCTTTAGGGCCTTCGTATGCCCAAGTCTTCTTTACACAATCCCATGTGCCTGTATAATTGTGATGCTGATCCTGCAATCTCGTTCGCAGAACTTGATAGGGATATGTTGACGCTGCTGCGATTAACTTGCTGGTAGCTGCAAATCCTAGATATTCTCCAGTAGTCTGTACATAAGTAGGAAATAGATGTGTTAATGTTTTGCAATTAGTATTTTTGGGAACTGTTACTCACCAGTTTATTATCGTAAGGTAATTTTCTATGTCTGTTGTAAAATGCTTTCATCTCCTCATAAGTCATAAATTGAATGGCTCCATGCACAACTCCAAACATCCCAGGAACAAAACCCTACAAAGAGCAGTTGAGGAAACTTCAAATCCCCTACCCACATTCACGTTTTCGTTGTGAAATGCTCATAAAAGGCGAAAAAAACTAGCCATGCCTGGCAGACTGACCCTGTATAAACCTCTCATGCCTTCCTGTCGATAAATTTTTACTAACGCATCTGTCATTCCATTGTACCAAATGGAGGGATCTTTGGAGGCGGTCCCTGTGATTCCACATTGCAAACAGAGACGAGTTTTTACAACCCAAATTGGGTTGGTTACCAGCAGAGTAAGAACTCCAGCTTCAGCTGCAGCTAACATGTGCCAAGTGGGACCAAGAGGCTTTCGACTATCTCCTTTTTGAATCCAGTTTTTGATTGAATTGTAGCTGAAAAAAATCCAGAGTACATTCACTGGACACCAGAAGCTAACACGTGCTCAGTAATGAGATGCGTAAAGGGATTATCAAATGATAATACTAAGATAAAAGAATGCTATAATCAGTACTGAATTCAGTGATATACTTACAAGAGAAAATAGCAGCCCCATGCACTACCTGAGCCCCATACGTTAGGGGCTACGCCTCTATATAACCCTTTAATGCCTTCTTGCCTCACAACAGTGTAGAACGCACTGGATAAACTAGTATATTGGGGCACTGCAGTTCTTCCATCGTTGACTGTAATAACTTGAATAGATTCGGATGGTTTTAATTGAGATATACATACCAGCAAAACGAATTTTCATCAAGTCCAAGGGATGCAAAATTAATGTAGAAATGGCACCCCCTGACATACCAGCAAGTAAATGCTGATATTTAACGTGACTAAGTAAAGATATACTGTTTCCATTAGAGTGGTTCTTCATGGTTGTATTGGCTGTTTGACTATTCAACTGTTGATTTGAACTCTTGTTTGATTCGATGTGGAATGAAGCATCAACATTGTCTTTCACTTTCACTACTGCAGACATACAAGATTTGTTTGCAGATTTCTGGTAGGACCAAGCTAAAGGTTATGTAATTTTGATGATTGTTGCACCATTTCAAACAAAGAAATCTTTTTGGTTCTACGACTCACGTGCTTAATGTCCTTTAATAGAACTTACAACATTTTGGCTTTTGGCGTGATATTATCCAAAAATAAAACTTAAAATAATTCAAGTGCTAACCCAAATATAAAAGAAATCGTTTCGCCTACGACAGCGCGCTCTTGTATGGTTTGGCAATGGCTATCCTTCTTTCTCTTATGCACAAGCGGCCCAGCCACTGACCCCGGAAAGTGACGGTCAAGGAAACTCGGGCGAACTTCATCCACCGAGCCAGAGGTGGCAGCACGAACTTGCCTTGCTACAGAACTACAGAGCGCACAGAGGTGTTCTGTGGAGTTCGCCTCTTGCTTCAAATACATCCCTTATCTCTCTCTAGCCGCCAACATACGCAAACTTAATAATTGTTTCTTATCCGAATTAATCTAAAACTGACAATTTTCGCACAGATTATAAAGAAACACATGAAATCCGTTTTTCGTCGACTCCTCACAGTCGAGGCGCCGTCGCCTTTAAGAAAACTAAAACTAAACTTTCGCCTAAAACTAGGCAGGTACTATTTTTTTATTTTCAACTTTTGCTCCATTGGTCAAGGCTTAAGGTATCCATCCCATCGATTTACTTCGATCGATTGATTTTCACGATTTGATAAGTGACTTTGCCAGAGCAAAATAAAAAAAAAAAAAATTTTTGTTGCATAATAATTTGTAAATCACTATTAAGTTTTTTATGTTTATGTTATATGTAATGTAGAAATAAACTTGGAATTGCCAACATATGTTAGTAATTTTTCGCCTCAGAGTGAATGGAAACAAAGCCATCAATGTGAATTAAGAAACGGAACCTACTAAAGGTAGGTACAAAAAAATGCAAGTCAAATACAGCAGTTGTAATGTCTTGTGTTTATACAGGGCCATTTTCTAAATTAATTAATTAAATGCGATAAAAAACCTCAATAATTCTTTTTTATTCAAATTAATCAAAAAGCGCCAAATTTCGCACAGAAAGTATGATCATTAAAACCCCGGCAAATTCCACTTTTCCACTTTCACTCCATTGCACTTCATTTTAGGGATTAATCTTAGGCACAAATTACTCTTAGGCACAAAGTAACTAAAGTCCTGTTGGTACTACTAAAAGGTGGCTCTAAAAGCCTTCGCGGAACACAAAAACACGATATTACAAAAATATAGCTTTCCATTAAAAGCCACAGAGCGCCACAAAAAGCAACACATTGACGCTGCAATTTTTGCAGTAACGCCGGCAACGGATTGCGGCCAATAATATCTATAATAAGTATATATTCTAGCTATAGAAAATAGTTTAAATTAATTACCTAACTTTCGCCGACGTTTAGACGGTTGATCAGATGATGAATCAAATGTTGCTGATGAATTTTTAACGTGGAAGACACAGAAAAAACGAACGATGCGTGACATTTTGTTTTCCGACTTATGAAATTCCGTCTTTTATGTGAAAACTGCCGGTATTTTCGCACTCACGTTCCCCCTGAAAAAAAACGCGCAAAACAAATACAGTTATTTGCTTCTCAAACGGGCAATTTAATCCTCTATCCAGAGCTCCAACTCAATCTGATGCTGATAAATGAGCACAAAAGTGGCGTAATGCGTAATATTTTGGCCGACTCTTGCCAATAAAAAACAAAAACTGCAATGATTTCCTAATATACGTTCCACGCTCTGCATGATGTTTTTAATTATGTATTCAACGATAGCAACGCGAGATCTGTCGCTCAAATGTTGAAAAAAAACCGGGCAAAACAATTATAGTTATTTGCCTCTCAAACGAGCATTTCATGCTCTATATACAGTGCTCCAGCTCAAGCTTACCTTAAGAAATGGGCAACATTTTAAAGCGTGTTATGCTGAATGGCAAGGAATGCCTAGGGGCAGCATGCTATCAACCCCCAAATAAACCGGCTGTATTTCAAAGAGCATTTTTCGCAATGTTTGCAGGTAATTGTCCCCCGCCGAAGCAATCGCGATTGGGCCATCATTTGCAACGCAAAGTATCAACAATTGTCATTGTAGAATCACGTCTAAGATATTAGGAGAGTTGATTTTGACCTCAGGGTTCAGATTTCATGAGTCGATTGGACAGCTTAACGTTCTATTGATTGTAGACTTTCGAGCGCCCGGCATTGACCGCATGGTAAATCGCTTGGGCAATAAGTCATCTTGGGGAGTTTTTGGCCTATTGATAAGTGCAATTGAAAGGTGTGTGTAGGTAAGGGATGAAGCAAGGGCATGAGATCCAAGCGCGGTCGCGGTAATATCGACTAGAACGTTGAGTATGCGCTTGCTGCGTCGTCGCGTGGGGTGTGTACTACGCGCCAGCAAACCAAAAAATCTCCTCTTCCTACTCACTACGCGCTATTTTCGCTATGTAGGAGTATTTAGCACAATTCCCGCAAAATGCTTGGATATCATGTGAATCAAGTGAATAGCGTGTATAACTAGTCAAACCCTCAAAGTGGCTAACTTAGAATGGTTTTACTTGCGATTATCCTGCTGGCCCTCGTAGGGCCCGCGGCCCTTGAACAAGACGAGGACATTCCGCACAACGAGTAAGTTTGACAAACGCCGATTTTTCTTACCGTTCGATTTACCTCAGGGTCGTTATATAATCTTTTCATCAAAAATCGCCTTGACTCCCGACTGTTTCGAACGGCTCAACTTTCCATATTTAAGTTCCGTTCATATCCTTTAACAAAATATATTTTCGGCCTTTTCAAAATTGCTGCAAGCACGAAGTAATCGGCGTGTCAGATGCTAGCTAGTAGATTGTGCATAAGATTCATCAAATAATATAAGCGCTTAAGTGTTCGGTGTGTCATCTATTAGTAGATTGTGCATTTGCTTAAATGAAACAGCTAGCTATTAAGGAACGACTGAAAATCATGCCATAAATGCAAATTTCATAATCCAAGGCGCTCTGCCGGCGTTCCATTAAAAATTCAATTCACGATGGCTACTTCTGAGGCCCAATAAATTTGATTTTAAATTAAAAGGGTATTTTTTGCCTAAAATGTGCCAGAGCGTGTTCATTCCTGCTTCATCACTTTGAACAATTCAAATTATATTCGGTTATAAGCACAACTTCCACAATTTCATGTTTATGTTATATGGAGTGTCATACTCTGTTGAATTATGCAGATTAATTTTGCTTTTTCCGCCAGTTTCACTTAAGCTTTTCGGGTTGCAATAATCTACTAGTTTCCTGTCGACTCAAGTGAGCCTTACTTTTACAACAACCTTGAAGCCACACAAATGTTATAAAAATAGGTGTCAAGTTTAGCGGGTTTGGGACGGTGAACAGAAACTCTTTATTTTCTTGAAAAAGCCTACGTTTCGACTATATATTTAGTCTTCCTCAGGGCTATTCAACATTAAAGGGCTTCATGTCAAGACAATGACCACATATCCATTGAATTTCAAATTCAATATGTGCTGCCAGTGAAATCGCCAGTCTGTCTGCCCGTGAAAAACGTATTTATGTGCGTTATCAACCAGAATTCGTGTTTTTTGTGGATATGTGGTCATTCTCTTGACATGAAGCCCTTTAATGTTGAATAGCCCTGAGGAAGACTAAATATATAGTCGAAACGTAGGCTTTTTCAAGAAAATAAAGAGTTTCTGTTCACCGTCCCAAACCCGCTAAACTTGACACCAGTTTTCATAAACCAGGGACGCTAACGATGAATATTGTTATAAAAATTCTTAATTCCGTGATATTCTTCAGAGTCAGGAACTGGGCTCTCCAGTTTGGAGTCGGCCTGTGGGAATACGGTAAAATGATGACCAAGATGAACGAATTGAAACGAGTAAGTAACATATCTCCTACTCACATGTTTCTTAGAACATTAGCCATTGGGTTGATTAGTTTAACAACATAAGATCCACCTTCTGTTCACTACAGGGTGATTCAAAATTGGCGTCATTCCTCTAGAGGTGTTGTCTAGGGGAGTACAGGAAAATTATTAAGAAAATTAGTTATTAGTAAATGAGATATTTGCAAAAAACTAGATCAGAAGGCAACCATGTTTTTCAAGGTAAAGTAAACCGTTTGACAAATGCTTGTTATTATTGGCAAAGTCTATCTACTTGTTATGCTAAAAACATCATTGCCGCTTTGACTTTTGACGAACAAATTGTGGAATAGTATTTTTAGTATAGAAATTTTCGGTAGTTTGAAGCAAAAATCGCAATTTTTCTTTTCCAACGGTTAAGTATTCCAATAGGCTACTAATCAAAGATGGGACCATTTCAGATTAATACTTAACAACAAAGTTGAAATTCGATCTTCAACTGTTAATATCGCCTAGAAATTTTCTCGTGCTCTCTAAGTGAGCCCCAATAGGCCCTAAAAAGGAATCCAGCCAAGCCAATTTCGAATCGCCCAGCCTTTACTTGTACTCTCTAAGGGCATGAACAAATGTTTCAAGCAAATATTATGTGAACCTCTATAGAAGGAATTAATATTAGGGGAAATATATGTGAGCCAGTTTTCCATTGCTGCATCTTCATGACATCGTTTCCTAATGAGTTCGTTTCAATTAACTTATAGAAATACCGAGAGGTAGAAACTTCTGTAAAGAGAAAAGACGGATTAATCTTAATTCGCGAAATGGCCAATGAAGTTCGGAATATGATGGATTTCAAAAGGAGCGCTGTTATGGTAAAGAATGTGAGACTTGTCGACTTCGTTGCTACATTGTTTGTCCCATTAGCGCATAATGGATTCAGCTGAACAGGCAGCCTTAGCTTGGCGCTCTGACAACAACGGCGTAACTCCACGATATTACAATGCTGAGCGCTTAAATGCTTTTGCTCCTGATGGGCGGCCAGCTGATGGTACCCGAGAGTTGGTACTCACTCCGAACCCGCATTTTGATCATCTACCTGTTAATGTGACCTTTAGTACCGTCCTTACTCCTTCGAGAGTATACGATACAGGTCAGTGAGTGGCTTGCAAATTTTCAAACAATTAACTGAACTTTGGTTGCCAGATCCAGAAGTTGGAGGATCCATTCAATGGTCAGCTCATTTAGATCCTTTATTTGTGAGTAATTATGAAGGCGATCCCACCTTGTCTTGGCAATTCTTCGGGAGCTCCACCGGATTTCTTCGGCGCTATCCCGGAATTTCGTGGCCTCCGGAAGATTTATCTACTGTTCAAGACTCTCACACTGTACGGCGACCCTACGATTTTCGATCAGCTGCTTGGTATGTGGGGGCGGCAACTTCTCCCAAAGATATTGCCATTCTGTTGGATGCTTCTGGATCTATGGCGGGGCACAGAGCTAATTTGGCCCGAGCCACTGTTGAATCTATATTAGATACTTTAACTGACAACGATTTTGTGAATATCTTCCGGTTTTCTGATACCACCAGTGAAACGCTGCCGTGTTTTAAGGATCAACTAGTGCAGGTGCTAAACTCACCAGACATACAAGTTTTTTGGTTGAATGTACTGTTTTTTAGGCCACTCAAGAAAACTTGAGGTGGTTAAAGGATTCTCTAGGAACCATAAAGCAGGAAAACATAGCAAATTTCTCTTCCGCGCTCGTTGCAGGCTTTGAAATACTGCACAAGGCAAGTGGAACTTCCCCAGTCAGCTAAAGGATTTTACCCTAATTCAAGAATTGCCGTTTTGCAGTACAACCGTACGGGACAAGGATGCCAATGCAATCAAGCTTTAATGCTAATCACTGATGGCCCTCCGTCAAGTTACAAAGATATTTTCAAGCTGTACAACTTCCCTCATCGCCCCGTTCGTTTATTCACTTACCTAATAGGATCAGACTCTGGAAGTGCCGCTGAAATGCACTGGATGGCTTGTGAAAATAAGGGTAAGCAACAGCTTCCTAATTTTTTATCTGCAATAAAACTCGCCGTTTACTTCAGGTTACTATACAAAAATTGAGAATTACGACGAAATAAAAAATCGTGTTTTCCATTACATCGAGGTAATGGCAAGACCGATGGTCATGTATCAGAACAATCACCCTATTCACTGGACATCCGCCTATGTTGGAGGCAGAGTAAGTGCATCTTGAGCGCCCAACAGTTGATTTTAAGCCACAGTATTTTCAGGCAGATAGTTTTTCCGACGACAAAGTCGGTCAGCTAATGACTACTGTTACTGCTCCAGTCTTCGATCGAAGAAACCATACGGTAAGTGAAACCATCGATATTTTGAGCAGATGATACAGACTTCGATGTTAGGTACGACTGGCTAATCTTCTTGGAGTCGTTGGTACCGATGTTTCTATCGATGAGATTCGGAAATTGGTGCCACCGTACAAAGTAAGTTGGACATGCTAGTTCTTCGACTAGATAATAAAAATTTCAAATTTATTTCAGCTGGGAGCGAACGGATACTCCTTTATCGTTAACAATAACGGGCACATTCTGTATCACCCCAATCTCAAACCCCCGGTAAGCGAACTAAGAACGCTTTAAGGGCCGCTCAAGATAGCAGTTGAAGAGTTTTCCAGACTTATAAGCTGGACTTGCTACTTAACGTTTCGTTCACTGATCGAAGGCCTACGATACTGTTCTCCGCATTTCCAATGTTCAACGGCTTATAACTCCGGAAAACTTTTATTTATTGTTTGTATTCACAGGTTCTAATCACGATTTTTTCCAGCGGGTCAGTGAAAAATATGAGCAAACATTAGAACCGCAATATCTATCGGTTGATTTATCTGAGGTAGAACTTGTCGAAAATGAAAACGGTCCGCGGGAGAATCACAGCGCGCTACTTGATGTAAGCGCAAAATATTCATTCGCAAACTTAAAAATTATACAATTTGCCCTTTTTTAGTTAAGACAAGACATGATTAATCAGAAAGAAGGTGAAACTGAGCTTACTTTAAAGGTTCATTATGATGATATGGTAAGTTGAGTTCATTTTTACAGGCGGTTGGTTTGAAAATTAACTTTCTGGTTCAGAGGCGGGTAACTACAAGACGTTATAAATACTTTTACAATGCCATCGAAGGTACGCCATTCTCTCTCGGGCTAGCTATTCCCGAAGGGTACGGCATGTTCGAATTGCTTGCTGAGCAAGAAATCAAGCACAGTCAGAAAAATGGTAAAATCTTAACCCGTTATAGACCAAGTGAATTTCTTATTCCATATTTTCAGTCACTGACTATCTCAAAGGCAACAAATGGAGAGTTCATCCAGATTGGTAAGCATTTTTAATAACTGCATCAATGTATTTCTAAAAACACTGTCTTAAAGGGTCTATTGCGAGTATACGAGTGGAACTTCAGGCGAACAGTGGTTCAAGACAGCCGAGGAAAGAGTGCTGCATTTTCTTTCAAGAAGCAGAAGACCTGGATGGAAGTGGATGTCTTTAAGACCGCGAGCCTCTCCTCAACAACGCGAACGGGAACATCACCACTACTCAACCAAGCAAGAAAAAGATTCTTATTATTGTAAGTATCAGTAGCGGAGAGAGATTATTGAACTGATTGAATCGCAAATATTTGATCTTTTGCTTCTCAGGTGACAAAACATTAACGCAGTCTTTAGTTTTGGACGCCATGGTCACGGAAAGTTTGGAAAAGCATAGACCAAGAATGGAAGACAAGCAGTAAGTATTCGAGATAAGCTACAATAGGCATGCTACGTGAAATTTGTTAAGAATTTCTTTCACTAATGTTTTGCACTTTTTGTTACTTATGTTGACACTTTACTAATTAATTTTCTGCACATTAGCCCTATTGGCACACTTTTGGTACAATTGCAAAGGTAAACATTTTCATTGACCATGACCCGTTCGTTTTTAGATTTGATAGGTGGATATTTTCAAACTATTGAATTGATCTAGTTTGGAATCATTCGTAGACATTTCATCAATTGCCACCAACAAATGCTATAAGATCATCGAATGTTATTAGTCTACTAATGATTTTGAATTAGCTGTTATTTGTCTTAAGATGGCATAGCTTGATTAATAGGGCTTAATAAGACTGACTAGAATTATTTTCAGTTTCAACGCTGATAATGAATTTTTAATTGCTTTGTTCTTGTTGGTGTTTCGTCCCGTGTTATGAAATGCGATACATAATACTTATAGTCAGTCTATCCACCCTGACTATTTTTATATTTAATTCACTAGAGCGAGCAAATGCAATATATGAACGTTTAAAAATATTTTCTGCGATGAATTTACAACGCAATTACTTAGTTTGTTAGTGCGATGTCTGATTCATATAAAATCTTCAATTGCCGCACTTCATTATATTGTTTTTGACTGGCTGCACTAGTTTAAGACATTGAAAAGACCCCATAATATTGGACTGTATCAATGCGGTTGGAATTCCTAGTTAGTCAACATGTTTAAGATGCCGCTAGAATTTTTTCTTTTCCCCTTAAATAAATAGCTAACTGGAGCTTGGTAAGTTAAGGAAACATATTTGGAGGCAGTCAAATATGATTTCTTGGTCAAAAAAATTGCTTTTGCTGGTGGCTTCACGAAGAGTCTAATTTATATGTAGAAAAAGCCGATAAATAATTGTTCAGATGTTAAAGCCTGGACATGCGGTCAGCCCTGATTGATTGCCTTAGTTTATCACCCATATGAAAGATTTTTAAGAAATAGCAAACAATTCCTTTCAATGTAGCTTTAATGGGTGAAAATGACATGATGTCGAATTTTCTGATAATTTACTAAGGGTTTTTACTATCTACTTATACCCCGTCACGGATCGATTTTAATTCAACTTTACTTGCAGCCAAGGATACGACATTTTTGGAAGCACTACATGGTTTGTGGCGACGCGTAGTGGACTGCTCAGATGGAGCAACTTTACTAATACCGATAATGATGACCCGTAAGTCATTGCAGGAAGCTTGAAGTTTACAGTTATCAATTGGTTTGATTTTAGACCATTTGGACAAAACAACGCACGAGCTATTGACGAGTCTTGGTATCAAAGAGCAGTAGATCAACATGCTATTGAACCGGAAAGCTTTGTGTTCTCCGTACCATTTGCTGAGGGGCCGCCGGGTTCTCCAGTTCCAGAACGCACGTTGCTGACTGCAACGCACGCTGTTTTTATTGAATCCAGTAGTCATCGAGCTCCAGCTGCTGTGGTTGGTCTTCAATACGTGCAGTCTTCTATTGCTTCACATTTTCAAAATATCACTTCCAAGGTATGAGGGTGGAATTAGATGTTTATCATATTTGACCCAACTTTTTCAGTGCACGTCGACATGCAAGAAAACATGTGCCAGCAATACCCTGGATTGCTACGTTTTGGACAATAATGGGTTTATAATTATCTCCGAAAACAACGAACATACTGGAAGGTTCTTTGGGCAGATTGACGGGACTATCATGGATTCGCTGGTACAAGATCGGATTTACAAGAAGGTTTCTGTATATGACTATCAAGGATATTGCTCAAATAGCAAGTATTCCTTCAGCGGCAGAGCGACCAACCTCAAATCCACTGGAGTTATTAACCTTCTTTTAAAGTTTACTATTCAAACGCTAGCTGTGTTGATTTCCCATCTGCAGACTGCCTACGGTACAGCCTTAGCATACTCTCAAGAGGATGAAGAAGGTATAGAAGCTTAATAGTGGGAAGATTGTTTGCAAATTGAAATTTTACTAGAACCAATCAACTACGAGTACGAATATCCCATAGGGGATGATTTGCTCAGCGAGCAGCATCCAATGCCAGCTCCCCCAGTGGGTTTTGTGCCTCCGTTTGAATCGGATCCTCTTGAAGGCGTTGATTTGGGCCAATGGGGCACGAGGCCGTGTGACCGTAAGGTCGAATTGTACGTCCTGCAGCCCGAAAGACTAAACACTAGCGGGCAGAACAACCCGCTCAAAGGAAAGCTAACTAATTGTCATGTCACTGGTTGTGAAAGGTATGTGCATTTGAGCTTATTTCTAGTGGAACCTGATTATCTATTTATCCATACCAGGCCATTCAGTGTTCAGAAGATTCCGCACAGCAATCTGATCCTGCTGGTGGTTGATACTTTGTGTCCATGTGGTAGTAAGCAGCTGAGTATCACACCTCAGGAACTGGCCTACGAGTCACGAGATCAAAACGGGTGTACCCATCGCCCTCGGCCTACTTTATATAGAAAGAGGCCTCCTAAGTGCATCAATTACCACCCAGAGGTAAGTAATGGCAACAGTATTTTGATAAGGTTTTGGTCGTACATTGACGCATTATTCTACGCACAGGAAATAGAAATTCATATCTGTGGTAAAGGAACTGCGCTAAAGTCTGCACAATTTTTGACGCTGCTTTTCTGCGTCGTGATTTGCCTACTATCATCTGATCCGGTGTCGTGATCGAATGTACGATTAGGGCTGTATAATTAAGTAGTAACTTTTGTAACAGTAGCATTCGCTATATGATAGGTATACAAATAAAATGCTCATATCATTTTATTTAGAGAATCCTTTAAATGTGCACAATTCGTTTCTTATTATATAGTGCGATCTTCAGTTCTGACTCTGACAGCAATAGTGTTGGGTTCAACTATCAAGTTTCCTATCGGAAAATTTGTAAGCAAATTAATTTTGAAGAACTGTTTGCTTTCGAAACTGAGGCTCCCTGATTAATGTCTTGCTAGTTACCTACCTAAAAGTCAGGGTTCTCTAGGAAAATTGTTGAAATGAAAGTGGAACTACAGGGAAGTTGGTTGACTCCCGTTTTGCCCTCGCCCCTATTAGGCGTCAAACCTATGAATGTAATCCACTATTAAATTAAATATCATATACATGTAAATATTACTGAGTGTGTAGAAAAATCCATAAGTATTATTTAGAAAGATCAGTATTTTTTAAAGGAATTGTGGATTTTCAAGGAGAATGAATGAGAGCGACAATAATAACTTAAAAGTGTTTTTGCAATTTTTATATTTGTACGTATTGTTTGTATGTAACTTTTTACAATATTCAACAGTTTAATCTTGTAAGGTATGCATAATTCGACGAGTGTGTTTTCAATTGTGTGTAGGACGATGATGATTGTTGCATTTCCATATGCAATGCTCCTAACTGTATAGCAAGTATAACATTACTTGCCGAAGAACTAATTGGTACGATGAAAAACAAATATACTTATCAGCTTTCAAATTGAAACCGGATTTTCAACTTTATGTTTCTGATGAAAAACTTGTTCGTGTCTCGGTGTCAATGTGTAGTTTTTCACCCTACCAATTCGAAAGTATTCATTGATAAATAAGGTTGTAAACTGTATATGTAATAAATCCACTAACTTGTTTCTACACGGAGCATTATACGTAACTGTAATTATTAAGAACACTACTACCTAATTTTAATCTAAGCGTTAATTTAACTGAATGTTGTGCATGTTTTTCGTCAAACTTCACCAAATTTTAATAATACTTCTCTTATAATTCAAAGCTCAATCGACATTTCAATATCTATAACAATCAATTATTTTCTTGTGGCCAACGACTTTAATATCAGCATATTATCTACCAATTACTTCAAGCAAACATAATCTTTGAAAAACCAAAAACTTAGATGGTTAAATATTAACTGTGATGATTTATATCATGACGTTGTAGCTAGATACGTAATTTGTTTTGTATATAGGAGAAACACTTGAATTTTTGCGTTAAGTTTTAATAATCTTTATAAATGAAAATATTGAAAATTCAATGAATTAAAATTTTAAATTGTTGACAATTCCAGCGTAAATATCGACCTTCATTAATCCGTGCTAAATGTGTATGTAAACTGTATTATCTCTGGCCCATGTACATCTTCATCCATCATTAAAATAAATCGATTGTATACAAACTATTCGTCGTAAGCTTTGAGTATTACAAATTAATTGAATTCAAAACCATATTTTCTTTCTTAGTTGTCCCGTATTTGAAATTCACATATTTGAAAAGTTTCGCAACCAGTTATCATTATCCAGGTAAAAACACTCATTGTAAAATGCTTTATGGGATTTTTTGGAACTTCAGTATGTTGTTCTCAAAAAAGTTGGTAATTTATGTTTAGTATGCCTCATATGCGATGAATTTCTAAAAATCGTGACTTTCTGTAAATTGCATTAAACGGTATTTAAATGCTACGTTTTTTCACATCGTACTTTGCTGTATTGCATTTTAGTTCACTCGTCGTTCAAAGTTAGCAGTTAAGTTATTTTAGCATATATTTGTAATTAGCTAAAATAAATCACTTCGCTTAAAATCACTGTTTATTTTCAAAAACTTTAGTAAAAAAAGAGGCGAAACAAGCGAAGTAGTATTTATTTAGCTAGTTGAAATGCTCTATTACAAAGTATCGCACTACTCCACCAACTATATATTTGTAAGCATAGCATTTATAGAATGATATTAGATTAGTGAAGTAAGGCAATAATTAAAATAGGTTTGTTAAATCAACTAAAGGTCTATTCTCAAGTTTCAAAATCTCGCTTGTCGTTTAGGAAAATTTTAAACTTCTGTGCAGTCAATTACTAGCAATTTCACAATATTTAATTTGAGATGTAAACAGTTCAATTTGGTTGATTGCTTGTAGAATCCAGTTTGGCTTAACGACTTCATTTACAATCGATACCTAGGAAATAGGAGGCAAATCAAATTGTTCCTTGCTTAAGGATTCTTCTAAAGTTAGAAAAAAATAGCCACTGGCATAATTAATGCAAATATCCATTGTTATGCGGACATATGATTTAAACAGCCGAAATTCTTAACTGCTGAATAATATTTTTCACGATTCGTTTTGGCTAATATCTTGCTATGAGAATTCTGAACACCAAATCACTTTGTAATTACTGACAAAACCCTTGTTATCTACAACAAGCGACCCGAGCTAAATTTAAATACTTTAGTAATTATTGAAAATTTTAAATTAAAAAATACATTAATTAATGCAATTGTATAGAAAATTATTCGATGGTCCACATAGTCGAAGGTATAGCTCACATTAAGTGAATGTTTAAATGTTATCTGATAATTTTATATGAGATCGGAAATAGGCCTATTGTTATAAAAAAAAAGTAGTAAATGAAAGAATTAGATCGGGACTTACCTTAGATATTTTATTATAAATAACGCGAGTACGTTTGAATTTATCGTTATTGTCCTTGATTATTATTTTTTACCCTTTATACTTTTCTAGGTAATAATTTAACATATTTAACGGTATTTTAAAATAAATGTATTGCCGACGTCAAAACTGCAACTAAGAGCGTGCGTTCCGTTTAGGCTAAAACGACATCCACCAACAATCCAATACATAATTAATAATCCTTTGTAATGCTTATTGCCTCTGAAATATAATGCAATTTACTCGTAACTTATGTATTGTATTATTGGTGGCTAATTAATATATTCTATTGATATTTCTAAGAAAATCTATGCTATATACATACTAAAATTGAGTCTTCCACTGATACAAATAATAAATATAAGCTCGAATGTAAGTCAAATTTAAATAATTGCAACATGTAAAACATGTAATACTCCACTCGAGATTATATGTTTAACCTGTATTTATATCAATTTATTTGTGAAAAAAATTCAATTTGTCTCACAGATATAGAAATCCATTCTAGACTGTAAATGAGATTGAAATGGGTAGAATTAAATAATTATTGAAATTAAATGGCTTCTAATTTTACCCTATTGAACAGCAAGGACTGCATTGTTCACGCATAAAAGTACCGAAAAATACTCACTTTCATTCACAATTTTTTTTCAATACACCTGCAGATGATTGATTGAACATGCGAGGTAGAAGGATAAGAACAAAAAAAATCAGTGCATATAAGTTTTAGTAACTTTATTATCCAGTGATAATCCTTTATAACATGGAGTTTTAGTATATGGGTGTTTGGGGTTAAAACCTTGTAATTGGAGAAAACTTATTACGATATTTAGGAGAGTCTTCAGAGTAGTTACTGTCGACTGACTTTGAACTTTTCATTCCAAAGGCGAAGTCTTTCCTGTAATTGCCACGTTGAAAATTTGAACCTGCAACTAAACGAAATTGCTTTAATAAATGTTTGTTTGGAAACCAGCAAATTATGGGCTAACCTTTTGCACTTGGCATATTACATGTAATTTCTGGATACACAGTCGTTTGTCTATATCCTCGATTGTCGGTACTAAACTTCGTTACGCCTCTATATTCCTTGTAATCCCTTTGTATTTGTCTATACTCAGACAGTTCTTGGGTAACCTGAGTAATTTTTTTTGCTTCAAGTGCATTACTTTGCTTGCCCGGATCTTGGAGTTTTGGGTTCAAGATTGGCGACGAAGCAGAGGAAGAAAGGGCACCTTCTGGTTCTTGCCGCTCCTAAAGACCAATACAGTGCCAGTAGATTCATATGTTCCTTTCAGTCACTCACCTCAAGCTTAACATCATTAACTTCGAATGGCAGGCTTGTCCACTGAGTCTCATCCATCGCATACAGCCTTAACTGATGCCGAATATTAGCCTTCTCCCTAAAAAAAAAAAATGCTCGGTAAAAATCGGGGCTTTCCAAATCACCCTTACTTACTTGGCACGCTTTTTTTGAAATTCCTCTTCCACCCTTCTCATGGCTTCTAATTCCCTAAGTCTCTGATTTTCCTTTTTCTCCGCTTCTTTCGATAATCGTTCAGCCATTTTTTTGCGTTCAATTTGCCGAACAGTGCTTTGAAAGGTGAACTTCCGCGGCTTCCTCAATGGCGCGTCTTTCGACCATATGGGCTCCAAAATTGACTTGGAATCCCTCAACGACTCTGGCATTTTAAGTTCCTCGCATGATTTTGAAAATGCTGATAACTGATACTTGTTTGAGTCATTTTGTGGCGAGTCGCCGATGTTTTCAGGCAAATACATCAATCTGGAGGTGGTTGATATGTGGGAGAATGATACTTCGGGAATATCCAGAGAATTTTCATTTATGGAATTTGGGGCCGATCTGCTCAAGAACCAGTTAGCGTCATCTTGATCCTTTGGAAATGTTCGTTGCTCGGGCTCTCGCCTGGGTGACAAATTATTTAATACCCCCGATACAGAACGCTTAAGTTTTCTCAAGCTGCTGACGCCAGGTTTGTTTGAAGCAAGCGTGGTGAAAGAAGCGGGCTGTAGGTCTCTTGGCAAGGATAAGCTGAAGATATGTGGTCGGTGCCTATGGACTGACTTGGGAAGTTCTCGCCTTAGCTCTTCCAAGCTAGAATCATCTTCTAAGTCCTGTTGAGGCGTCCAAGACGAACATACTGGAGGTCGAGCTTCAGGAGATATTCCTGAATCCTGCGTTCGAGCATTCAGCAGTCTCCATGCCGCAGATGGGGAAAAATGCGGAATTTGAGGAGGTTTTCTAGGTAACACTGGGCGTAAGCGCAAAGCAATTGTGGATTCATCGTCCTCCTCTTCAGCCTGGTAACTACTGGACACGTCAGAATCCTCTCTTTCCATCCCAAAGTAGAACTCCCTCGGTTTTTGGTTATCCATTGCTCGCAAGTTCGGCGATAGCTCAGGTGTGGAAGATTCTTTCCCAGATGGTTCTCCCCGAATTAATCTTCTATCGCCCTCAGCATCTTGTTCAATGGTTGATTGCAATTTAAAATGTTCGTTTGATAGTTTAAATCCGTCGATTGGTTCGTGTACTGAAGTCGCCTCTTTTAGCTTACTAGTTACTTGCTTTAGTTCTTCCTTGAATTCACTCGACTCCATTAAACCAAACTCTGGTAATGATATTCTGTTAGGTCGGGCATAGTTGGTTGGAATGTGACTGGCTAGTATCTTTTCTTCTATTATGTCAGAGTTATTTTCCGCTGTTTGAATGCCGGTATTTGTGTAACTAGATTCTTTTTTCGTTTCTACCCTGGTTTTAAACAGACGAGCTCGACGAGGTGTGAATTCTCCACTCTCGTCATCGTCCCAGCTAGATGACTTCTCCTAAAAATTAGGAGAATTGTTTTTCGGAAATAGAAACTCATCTAATGAAGATTTATGTGTGCGTTGATTCACTCAACTGCCGCGGACGAAGGCAGCGGCTTTAGTAGAGCGCAAGAAATATAATATTCATATATCTTAAATTCCGGTGCAAGAAATTGAAATGAACGCGTTAATATATGACTTAAGTATGTACATTATATGAGCTTGAGGTTTTCTATGTGAGAAACAAATAAATTACCTCTTTTCGCTGGTTAGGTGGAGCTGGGGCTTTATACTTCTTTTTGGCTCGATATTCCTTTATTTCATGGATCACGTTGGAGGAATTTCGCAAATCTGGCTCTGATTTGTATGACTTAACTTGGGAGTTAAGCTGGTTTTGACTAGATGCATAGTGTTTGCTTTGGGCAGTTGTTTTGTTGCCTTCTCTTTGCAGAGAGAACCTCTGGGCCGCTGAGTGAGGCCGAGACGTTCCCTACAAAACACTGGCAGGTGATTTTGAGTCCCGAAAAAATGAGCAAAGTGCACCTACATTTCGCAAAGGCACTTGATGCCTACCGCTTAATGTACCCCCTGACTGCAGTATATCTCCATTATTTGTTTGCCGGAGGCGTTGCCTGGATTCTGGATCAGGGAGTACTTTAACCGGAGGTACAACCTTAGGATAAGGCTTAAGAAGTTGAGGTTGCTGTCGCAGCACTTCTAAGCGGTTACCGCTGATCTGTGACGTTTGACTGCCAATATTGCCCATTACTTGAAATTTCTTTTCTAAGATGCATATTCTAAAACAAGGACATGTTTGATGTGAAAGCCTCCTTTAGATACCCACGCATTTAGGCGTATGCTAAACAGTAGAATCGGTTCCGCTTCTCTTGAATTAGCTGCAACCAGACTACATGTACATTGACTTTATTAAATAATAATTTAGGATTCAATTACAAAGTAAAATAAACATAATTACAATGCAAGTAATTGGAACATGACCGCATAAAGTACCATAATAAAATTAATTTAGACTGGAACCAACAATGTTAGTCGTTTTTTGTTTTGGGAGAATATCAATTCAATTGGCCCTGCGGTTTTATAGGCAAAAGTTCATTTTAATTAACTATGCAAGTATGCGATTCCGAAAGTTATACATTTATTTAAGTTGCGGTAATGTGCGCGACGAATTTAAATTTGATTAAAATTTCCTTTGGGCCATTTTCACTTATGGGCTATACTGTGTGCATCTTAATTTGTTGAAATTTACATACTTTTTCGGTCAAGTTCCCACACGTTGACAATGAGTTCTACTTGTAAATTTACACATAACAACAAATAACTTTTAATTTTATTGATATTTTGGACGAAACCAAACATCTGGATCACCTTACAGAAATTAAATTGCAAATTAGTTAAATTGTTCAAAGACAAACCGCAAACCGTAAGTACCTGTATGAAGACAGTAAAAACGCAGCCGGTATTTAGATTATGCGCAAAATATAACCAAGTCTTAATTAGTGAAAGGATATGTTTGTTCCTTCTACTGTGATGACTGAAGTGAGTAAGTGAAAATAACTCTTCTGCAAATAAATGTCTTTGATTTAAGCAAAAAATATTAAATTACTTCTCTGATGAAGTGGCATAGAACAATTCGAGTGAAAATGAACTTTTATCAATGTAAGCGACCGAAAGAACAATTTACGTCTGCTTATAACTATCTGAGCACGATTTTCACACTCTGATAGTTGCGACGGCAGTGAAGTCGATTATCTTTCCAAAATCGTATGTGTTAGAAGACAGCAACAATTATTGCAAATTAGGATATATGGTTTAACCGCGGAAACTGTTTTCTTTGAACAATTGCTATAAAATTTGCCGTAGTAGAATGTTGCGCTGTGTCAAGAAACCCATAAATTTCCTTATGAGATGTAGGATCGTGTAATTAACATCCGACATCCTTCCTTAAAAGAAGCAACTTTCACGAAAGGTGTGGTTCCTTTTAAGAAGAGTTAACGAAAATGAAAGTGACCATCAGCGTCTTCCGAAATGCAAATACTTTGTCGAGAGGCAGTGTGAATGCCGCAGGTTCCACACTTGCCATCTTACCGATGGCAACGTTTTCACTTTTTTCCTCTTCATTCTTTTAAGGTCAAATACATTGAACTGCAAATATTAAATAATTGATAAGACATTCTACAGGTGTTCAGACTGGACATAATTTAATGGGAAGTTTCTTAATGCGATAAAGTCTAGTTTCACCGACTGTTCATTCACGTTGTGCTTTGATTTAAAATATTAACTTTTTAAAATATTTTTTCACATTTGTTACGTTAAACAGTTGGAAGCATGTCTAATTTTATAGAATTTAAGAAACCAATAAAAGAGCCATAGCCTATCGCATTGCTATTATTTTCTTTGCTCATAGACTTTCACATTTTTCGATACTTCGCATTTCTAGATTCATTAAACGGAGAAACTTTAGGGGCTAGGTCAATAATAGTAATTAAGAATAACCTCGCAAATATTTACGGTTTACATTCCGAGACGAAATGCAATCAAATATAACCGTTTTTACGTTGTCACTATGGAAATACTGCAAATTATGAGTACCCTAGAAAAATTGCGTTGTTCGAACAATGGCAAGGCAATAAACTGCCACAGAAAGGATGATGATTTGAGAAAAAAAACAAATCTAAATAAAATGTCTCTCTTGATAGCAAACGTCTTACTTTAACGGTATCGTTTTAGTGGGCCTCGTCAGAATAACTATGATTATAAAGCAATTTGCGTCATCCAAAAGAATAGCGTTTTAATCTAATGCCGAACGAAGGCAATTTTTATTAGCAGGAACGTTCTGGGAGGAATTCTTCCCGGTATATTTGCGCAAATTTAGGAACTTTTCTTCGAGACAAACGACTTAATATGTTCAGCGGATTTAATGTGAATTAATATTCCGAACGAATCAAGCCGCATCACCAAAATCATTATTACACAATCGATTTTCCTGCTTGTATATTTTATAAAACAAGTTTCTGCTGATGAAGAGTATCAATTATTTCAATAAACGATACGTATGACGGTCAATTATAGCCTATCGATGTTTTATGTAAAGCTCGGTCATTTTACTACCATGCTAATGGAACAAAATTGATCAAATGGCTTGGGAAAATATGGAAGAGAAACATGTTTAATGTTTCAATTTGAATCAATTTTATTATACGAACCTGACAAGATTCAGGTCAGTTGATGAGACTCAGTTTGCAATGTCTGCAGCTTTTCCAGATAAAACGCATTTAATTCAATACCATGCCAACGTATTTATTCCGGCATGTAAAAATTAATCCGAATATTTCAGATCCCTAGGTATTAGCATTTTTGTACCAAACATACCGCAGTGTAAAATGGTTTAATCTGCATATTAATGCTGACGAGAACAATAATGCGTTTTCGCAACCCATGCTATTGTTTAAATTTAAAAGTTTCAGCACCAAAAATGAAAGGATGGACTTCAATCTATTTTTACAATCAATAAAACGTTCTCATGATATTGTCGGTAAATTCTTTAGCAACTTGTTCCCTAAAAGGATATATTATCTGATCGGTACTGAATCAAGGAAAATGACTGTGGGCAAACCGCTTTCTCATCATAAAAGCAAACAGTTAATTAGGAAAATTTTAAATTTTGTTGATTAAAAGAATGAATTAATTTTAGAGATAAATCGTAATGAAAATGTATTGAAAAGCTAATCAAAAGGAAAACTTTTTAAAATTATAAAGTAAAATGATACGTTACTTACATAGGAAGCACAGCAGTACCGAATTCTGAAGACCGACTTAACAGACTTTCCTGCGAAGTACTGTCGTATTAATTGTAGTAATTTTCACACGAGCGTCCAGCAAAACGAAGATGTTCTCTCATTTACACTGTCATTGCTATAGCGATTTTTATTTTTACGTCTACGGTACTTTCACTATGCACTTCACTCTGGTACTGCCTGTGTAGTGTAAAGGTAAAATGTACCAACATAAACAGTTAGCGGTTTACCTAGAGGGGAATTCTTTTACCTAGGAGATTTGAAAAGTTTGCACCTGATATCGCAAATCACCTCATGCTTCACGTGAATTATACAATAGCAATCAAAATTCAAACTTGGATTAGTACTACAGTCGGTGGAAGAAATAATTGCTATTTAGATGATAGCGTGAGACGTGAGACTGTCATCAATATCATGTCCTGAAAGTCCAAGATTTAACTTCGATTTATGTATGGGTATTGAGGAAATAATTATATTTAATTTGTCGATCTACTCAAGAGCAACACTTGCAAACTTACAAGGCGAAGAGCAACTCAGACTTGAAATGCTAGCGCAAAATTGAGATTAAGAAGCACATTAGCTCGCAAGATCAAGATCAAAATTCTATGAGCGAGAACAAGAGCAACACCAAGACCAAGACTATGAAAGTGTTGATTTTGGCCTTGCTTTGCTCATCACTAGCCGTATGCTTCTGGAAATTTTCTTTTCTGGGATCTGAAGAGAGTTGTTTTGCGAAAAATTGTTTTTTGTTATACCGAAAGTCAATTTTTTACATACAGGGTGAGTTTCTTTGGATGAGTAGTTCAGGGATCTTGGAAATGATAGCAAATACTAAAAAGGTTAAATGGACAAAGAATTGAATTTTTGAATGCTCTGCTCGAAACTGATATATTTTTTTCAAAGTTTGACACGAGTCAGGAAATGTTCGAAGAAAACTAACTTTTGACGGTTTTAAATAACTCCTAGTTCAGTCAGTATTAGTCTGACCGGAAAACATTATTATAGGAAAGTTTTGTAAATTGCATTCAATGTTTATTTTGCCAATTAACTACCCTAAAACTGGTAATAATTTTATTTTAATTAAGACGGCAGCTCGTGTAATGCGTTTATTACAAAAATCGAAACATACTAATAAGAATTAAAATTGAACGCTGCAAACTATAATTTTTATTGCAAGATATTTTCAAAAAGTCCCCCATTATTATCAATGCAAACATTGCAGCGCTTCAAAACTGAATAAGTTGCTTTTCAAACTGACCGACCATCAATAATTCCAAATGTTCTAACAACAGCTTCTTTAAGTTCAGTTAAATTGCCATCTTTATTTTTATAGACGGTGTTTTTCTGGCTTTCCACAAAAAAATCTACAACTGAAAGATCCGGTGATCGAGGTGGCCATAAAATAGGACCAAGCGTCAGAAAATTCTTCGTCCAAATGATTCCGCACTTGGACAAAATTATGCAAGGGGCTCCATCACGTTGAAACCATTACACATTACGCCGTGTTTCTTGATCTCTAAAGTCCTCCAACACAATTTTCAGAAGATTTCTTCCATTTAAGGCGCTTTCAAAAATAAATGGACCAATAATTTTTGCCCACCATGCCATGCCGCACCAAACGTTAAATCCAAATTTAATGTGTGCTCTCTTTTGCTCAAAGTGGTGAGGATTTGTTTGATTCCAAATATGTTCATTGTGTGGATTAGACATTCCACAGTTTATAAATCGAGTTTCATCGGCGCATCATATTTTATAAGGGGGGTCTTGTGGGCATTTGTTTCGGAACCATGTACAAACATCCCCTGGAAGAAAAGTTTCGAATTTATGTTGTTATTTGGAATATTGGGGGAACTAAGATTCATTTAAAAATGTGCCATAAATCACGTTTTCTCGTATATTTCCTTACCTGCCAAATTTTAGAATAATAAAATTCGTTCTACAAACTACAATTCTTTGTCAATGTATCCTTCGTTGAATCTGCTGTGGTTTCCAAGATCCCTGTACTAGATAAGTTCTATATTGTTGAGGCGGATTCATTTTTTACAAACTTCTTTTTGGGTATTTCGCCTCAAAAATTATTGTCTTTAAACAAGACAGAATTTCCTCACGTCTTTTATTACAGATTGATAAATAGTGCTTCTATTTCGCAATAAGAACGAATTATTTATCAAGAACTATCACCTAGAGGGTATCCTGCGACACACTTAGGCTCAAGCTGTA